GACAGAAAATCAACCACCCTTCTGATGCAAAGCCTGGGGATCATATCGGTGGTGAAGATTGAAAACAAGTAGTGAATTTTCCAATTAATGCGATCAAACTTTTCAACGTCAAAACTTAAGGTAACGTTATTTCAAAGGCAAATATATATATATATATATATATATATATATATATATATATATATATATATATATATATTGGTGAAAATGTTCTTCTACTTTGTTTTATACGAAACTGTTTCAAATTAGTTTAGTTTTCGGTGAAATATTAGATTTGTTTCTATTTTTTTGTTATTTTTGTGAAAACTTGACACATTCATAAATGCGGACCACGAGAAACGAACTCATCAATTGCCTCTATTTCTAAATGTAACTAGTACATCCATTCTGACAACTGAATTGTGATTATTGCGAGCAGTACATCGTGTTTTATTACAAGACAAATAGTAATGAAGTAGAAACTATAATTTCCCCCTTAAGGTACTCGAAGAATCATCAGAAAAGTAGGGCTGTTTGTGAAAAATATTTCAAGAATACAAATAGGTTTTTTCATTAACGTATCTGTCAGAAATTTGCCTGTATAATTATTTAAACCGTAACTACCACATTCGAGATACTTTCCACTAATGAATTTATGAGACAAATAACCGCCAATTAACCCTTCTCTGCCAATGAACCCTGTGTTTGAACGACGGCGAAATGTATTTCGTGCTTGCCGTTAACTCCTGGACATTTCTCCCAAATTTGACCGGTCATAATTCCATTAATTGTACTCCTTATATATGTTGACTTTTATTGGTCAACACATCACAAACCTTCGGCAAAGGCTAAAGAATTTCAGGAAGAAAATTGACTACATTTGCTTGGTCTGCGAAATTATTCTTTCGTGCTGCAAGGTCACTGCCCAGAAGAAAAAGAAATAAAAATAGAAGTCGCAACAACGACTTTCGAAAGCTTTCATCGGCATGCAAAGAGATGAGGTAGCAAACGTGTTTTCAGCAGGTTACTATAACCTGCAGATTGCCGCTGATTTCATTTTTACCACTGACAGGACAGAACAGTTTTAGAATACGATTACATTTGCATCTTCACTTTCTAACATTTACCTTTACATCTCACGTTTACGTTTCGTGTCCATTGTGAATGGCCTGTTGATGAAAATGTTTAAACCACTTCCTTACGTCGTCATGTCTCCAACGTCGACGTAACCATCGAGTCTTTAAACCGGCCAGCAAGGCCGGCTAGTGCGGCGACTCGCCGTGAACGGAACAGATTCGAGTAGCTTGCTCCAAAGTGCCAAGCCGTCAGCAACATGCGCCAATAGCGTCAGTTGTGAATGTTAGGAGAGAATAGGGGAGAAGAGGAGGGAGGGCAGTCCGTGCTTCTCGCTCCGGATGTGACGTCATTGTTTGTCCGTTTCGAGGTCCACGTGGTGGCCTCCGGGCGCCGAGTAGGCGCTGCGACAGAGGCGTCTTGTTGGCGCCACCTTGTTGCCGCGGGTGAGGTACGAGGCGGAAGCGAGATTTCGAAGACGCTATCGCAGTTTCATTCAGACGTACTTCCCGCACCTTTACAATGAATTTATTCCACATTTTCTCTAAAGGTTCAGCTGTTTTTATTTGTTAATTTACTTCTCTGTTGGTTCATGAGCATGGTATTATCTTTCTGGGATGCGGTCCGGGATTCGATTCTCACACAGGGCAAAAATAAAGATGGAGCTTTTCTAATTCAGATTGTCTCAGTTTCTAAAGTTATGTGACGAACATGTCTCCCTTGCTTTCAGGCGAGGATTATAAATTTTAAAAAACAGAGATCTGGACTGAGATCATCCCTAGGTGGCAAATGTCGGATTAATCTGATCCTAAAATGCTAAAGATATACATTTTTTTATTAATTTACTTATTTATTTTACTCTCAAAAAATGGTGAATAGCTATATGTGGCGTTAAGAGGGAAAAACTAGATTTCATGATGTCGTAAATGAAAAACAATCTTATTACTCGCTTAATGGATCTGAGGATCAATAATGTTTATTTCTATTAATTACGTCTTCAATGCTTCCAGTAGGGGAATGATTTTATCATTACGTAACCAATAATAACAAATAAGGAGTTAACAAATAAATGAAAAAGTGCCCAATATCGATACAATGTGCAGAGTTGCTTTACTATCAAGTAAACATTCATTTTTCTTGAATTTATACGCCGAACATGCAAATATGTACACTGTAAATTGTGAAGACTTAGACGTTCAGTTTTACATTGTGATTCACTATCCGCAAGTTGATAAAATGATGATACGCATTACACAGCGTAGGAGAGAGGGCATACTTTGAATATACTTCTTTTAAAAGAATACTTATTGATATTTTTACATATTATTTATTTGCGAAAAAAACAATAAGTACCGATGACATATCAGATGGCCGCGATCGTTAAGTCAGTAGTAAGTGGCGGTCTCGAACCAGAACATTACGGATTCGACTCCCGCCTGGGGCATGAGTGTATATATGTTTGTCTGTATGTATCTTCCCCTCGCACTCATAATCATCATCTTAATTTCATCTTCCATACCCCTAGGGTTAAAAAATCTGGGGCGTACAAATGGACTCAGCAGAAATAAAAAATGTCTCCCCTAAAAATGTTTCATGTGCATACCCCCAGGAAAAAAATATGACTGGGCCTCGGTGGGTAGAACTGCGCCTGGTCTATAGAATGGCCAATTCGCGACGAAAAAAACTGACGTTTCGAAGAGGGGCTAAAAGGCTACATTTACAATCAAAGTACTCTTTTTTGATGGTATTCATGTCCCACTCTCGGAAACCCTCTAATACCCTCTAAGCGGGCAGGGGCTACTTACGTGGAAGCATATTTGCAAGACGAGAGGAAATTCAGTGGCGTGTTCATTCTGTCAGGTCACGTACTTTCCTTTAGCGCTTGGCGTCGCTTGGCGAGGTTGCCTGGCAGGGCCCCCCCTAACACTAGCCGCATACGCGATATAAGGCTCGTCTTCCTCTCCTTGTAGATGTCTCTTCTTTTCACACGCTGGCGCCATGAACGAGTGTGTCTATACACTGAAAAGCTGGTGAGGGTGTGGCGTTGTCTTTCAAATTGTACTGGAAGAGTTTACAAAGCCCCGTTTCGTTGAACTTGTACTACTATCTTTACCTTGCCTATGAATTCTTGAATTTCGTCGTAGGTGTCTCGGCTTTCACACGCTTATGCAACGAACGAGTGTGTCAGGTGTGTCATAATACTCAAGAAAGAAAAATGTATTTATGTTATGTGATTTATAATGAATTAGTTTACATTTGTATTGTATATATTTTTAAAAAGACTTAATATGCTTGTAACAAATAATGTACTTTAGCTTCCGGGTCAATGAGCCCCATCTCCATCCCGTTTTTGTCCCTGATACATTCAGCAAATGCTCAGATGGTCCCTTGTTTTTCTCCCTGACGTAAATGTAGCTTCACTATGCGCACGTTTTGTTGAACTCTCCTTTTGCCTGTAGTAGTAGCAGTAGATGTAAGGGCGAGTTGCTATTTTGTTAGCAATGCAGAAAACTTATATTTGCTATTCCTTTACCGATGCAAATAAGTTTTCTATAACTCGGAAACGAACAAACATGACTAGGTTTTCAAATGTTGCTAATTTCGCACTTTATTAAATTTTATTTTTATTTATTTACATTAAACTTTTATTCATCCTTCAACTATTTATAGTAAAAATGATGGAAATGGATTCTTGAACTCACGAAAACGAGCGCAGATAATCTTCTTCCCCATACGTCACATGCAGTTTTTACTGTTTTGAGTAAATAAATTTAAATGCAAATCTACTTAAAAGAAGGTGAGGGAGTGGCTTTGTAATTCAAAGGGCACTGAAATATTCCTTCAAGCCTCCTTTCGTTGAGCTTGGACTATTACCGTTGCATTGCCTTTACGTATTTGAATTTCCTTGTAGGAGGTCTCGGTATTCACATATGTATGCCACGAATGTATAGACTCTAGTCAGCCTGGCATCCGGATATGCTTCAACGAAACGCTTATCCGAGTCGTCTACTCACTTGAGCAAGGGAGGAGCCCGCGCCCTGCCAGCTGAGTCCTACCATCTTTCCGGATGGGGGAAAACACTGACTTTCAGACTACTGTGAATCTGCTAATTATATTATATAAATATATATTCAGTGTAACCGTCTCCTTCGTAACTAGCGTCTCCAAAATATTGACTTTCCGACTTCTTGACAGGCAGCTTCGAAAAATTATCCCATCTCAGTGCTTAGATTAGATGTGCAGTGTACTCACCGGTTGCAGTCTGCCCGCAACCACGCGGCGCTCAGTGGTATTCAGTGTAGTCGTCACCCTGCTATGTGATATCTCAAAAACATTGACTTCCTGGCCTTTTGACAGGTAGCTTCCAAAAATTACTTTGAAAATAACCGTCTCCCTCCTACAGTACGTCTCAAAAGCATTGACTTTCCGACAGGTAGTTTCCCAAAATTGCTTCCACATTTCAGCGCCCAGATTCCGTGCGCGAACTCTAGACGTGCTCAGTACGCACTAGTCGCAGTTTGCTAGAAGGTCGCGACGTGATGTAACCGTCACCCTCCTACGTGACGTCTCAAAAACATTGACCTGTTGACAGGCAGCTTCGAAACATTACACCTGCAAAACTCAGTATCCAGAGTGCAGTGTACTCCCCGGTCGCAGCCAGAAGCGCGCGGCGCGGTGCTCAGCGACATTGAGAGTAACCGTCACCCTCCTACGTGACGTCTCAAAAACATTGACCTTTTGACAGTCAGCTTCGCAACATTACCCCCACATCTCAGTGCCCAGATTGCAGTGTACTCACCGGTCGCAGTCCGCCCGGAAGCGCGCGGCGCGGTGCTCAGCGACATTGAGTGTAACCGTCACCCTCCTACGTGACGTCTCAAAAACATTGACCTTTTGACAGGTGGCTTCGAAACATTATCCACACATCCATAGCGCAGTGTACTCACCGGTCGCAGTCGGCCCGGAAGCGCGCGGCGCGCCGCTGCGGGCCGGCGTCCCCGCCGCCCCCGCCGCCGCCGGTGCCGTTGGCCGAGGCGCTGCTGTGCCGCGAGGAGCCGTGCGTGCTGCTGCTGCAGTAGTAGGAGGGCGGCGCGCCCCCGCGCGACAGGCGCGCCATCTCGGCCTTGACGCGCGAGCAGCGGCGCGCCGTCAGCGCGAACAGCACCACGTTCACGCCCACCATCACCGCCCCGCTGCCCTGCAGGTACAGCGCGCGGCTCAGCGTGCCACCTGCCAACACGACCGCGCGCGTCAAGATCACCCTCGGAGGATTTGGAAGACAAATTTACACGAAATAAGATGAAGAAAAGTGTAAGGGAAGGAGGAAAGGAAACAGTAAATACAAGAATATAGAAGAGGCTAAAGATTGATTAGTTTGTGCGTCTTGTCGCGTCAATTCCTATTGCCATTAGTCCCGTTATGCTGTGCATGTTGAATGTAGGGAGATAGAGGTGACTGTTATAACACTACATTCGGCTCACCTGCATGGCAGACCCGTCGCATTACATTCAAGCTCAGATGATTGATTGATTGATTGATTGATAAGTGATTACAGGCCCGTCAACTCCTAAGGTCTTTAGTTCTGTAATCGAAGTACGTGATGTTTCCTCGTGTTGAGAAGGTGATCTCCCCCACTGGATGGCGAGATCCGGCGCCGACCTACTGTCAGCTAGCGTTATATTTCCTAACCAGATATCTCCTACCAGAGAAATACCGCCCCAGCCGCGACAAGCTCTAGGCTCCTGACCTATTTCCCGTGATGTGTGGTAGTACAGTGCATATTAGTGGAAGTAAGGTGTGATGATAAGACAAGTAAGAGGAAGGGAGATTGCGAAAGAAGAATTTGACCTCGTGTCAAAAATCTGCCATCGTAGCGACCCGAACCTTAAGACCTCCCGATGACCATAGCAGTTTACGGTCCCAGAAACACCAAATTATCCTTTCAATATATCGGCCTCGATGGGGGAATCGTGTGGTGTTTCCACGGGAGAATACACTTAAATAGAAGAAGCTAAATAGCGGCTTTGGTGATATAACGTCGGGCATATCGCGCTCTTACACCTACGTTTCCAGATTCAAACCAGATGAAAGCTGTGTATTTTAAGGGTGATAAAATCCTCCGCACGCCTTCCTTGAGAGGGCACGTAAAATCGGCTGTCCCATATTCTACTTTACTGCATGTAAAAGATGCTCAATCCTAAAAGAAGCTTCTGAGCGAAATTTAAATCACCAGTTTCGTCGACCGAGTGACACTCTCCGCTAGATGGTGAAACAAGCATAGAGAAATTTGAAAATTGAATTGAATTTTGAAAATTGAATTGAATTTAATTGGCTTTGAAATTGGAATGAATTGAATCGAACAGAATCTTATTCTGATTTGAAATCTTGAATTGAATTTTGGATTAAATCTTGAATTGAATTTTGAATTGAATTTTGAATGGAATTTTGAATTTAATTTTGGATTGAATTTTGGATTGATTGTTGAGTTGAATTTTGGACTGAATTGAACTGAATTGAATACTCACGCACGAGGAAGCACCTGACGGTGGCGATGTTGGGCCGGTAGATGGAGGGCACGCCCCAGCGCTCGCCGTTCTCGTTGACGACGATGGCGGCGGTGGCGAGCAGCGCGGGCACGCCCCACGCGTACAGCGAGTAGAGCGCGAAGCGGCGGCGGTGGCGCGCGCGCCCGCCCACCTCGCTGCGGCCGCGCGTCCGCGCCCTGCGCACACGCACCGGCCGGCTGCCTCTGCGCCTGCGACCACGCCCACCCCCGCGCGCCTCCGCGCTTAGACGACCCCGCGCCGCCACTCGGCGAGCGAGCCCTTCACCCAGCAGGCGCCCAAGCCAGCGCATTCAGGTGACTCTTCAGACAACAAGCCAGGAGCCCAGGAACCACACCAGGAAATCCTTCGCCTTTAGTGACTCTTCACCGATAGTTCTGGTAACTTTGGAACCTTTCACCTTACATGCAGATCCAGATAGCGTGATCGGCACAGATACTAAAGCAGGAGATTCTGCGCCACCAGAAAACAGGCTGAGAGTTTCCCCACCGTCCAGGTACCAAAGCACGTGAGTCTTCGCCACCAAATAAGTCAAGAGTACCTTCATCGCCCAGAAACCACGCCAGGAAATACTTCGCCTTTAGTAACTCTTCACCGATAGTTCTGGTAACTTTGGGAACCCTTCACCGTAGATGCAAATCCAGATAGCGTGATCGGTGCAGATACTAATGCAGGTGATTTTTTACCACCAGAAAACAAGCTAAGAGTTTGTCCACCGTCCAGATACCAAAGCATGTGAGTCTTCACCACCAAATAAGTCAAGAGTTCCTTCATCGCCCGACACCACACCAGAAAATTCATCGTCGTGATTACAAAGCAGGGAACCCTTCACCAACATGCATTTCAAGACAGCATGCTCGGAGCAGCGTCTGCGACCACGCACGCCTACGTGCTCAGCCTTACGACACTGCTCTGGGCCCTGCCATGTACACCCTCCACCAGGTGCCTAAGCCAAGTACCCAAGAGGTCCTTTGGAAACCACGACAGGAAATTCGTCGTCGTGCAGTTAGAGAAGCAGGTGATTCCTCACCACCAGAAAACAAGCCAGGAGTTCTCCAGGAGTCCAGAAACCACACCAGGAAATTCTTCGCCTTTAGTAACTCTTCTCTGACGGTTTGGTATCTTTGGGAACCCTTCACTGACGTGCAGATCAGATCATCTCTAGTCACCTCGACATGGAGGTCTTTATGAGACGTAAAAAAACATAAGAAAACACTTCGAGAAAATCTCTAAATTAAATTTGGTCTTGATTTTGACACTATGGGTCATTATTTCGTCTCCAAATGCCAACACAGAAACTAATTGCAAGAAGACATCTCCATTTATCAACCCATCTTGCAGCTTCGAATGCAAAAGCCTACAACTTACCCATAAAAAATTAAAGAGAGGGAAAAATATATACATATTTGAAAATAAATTTCTGAGATTATTGCATTTTTCACTTACAAATTTCTTCATACCAAATATGTGATAGGAACACAAAAAAGCAAATTGTTTTCTAGTCTTAAGAATATTCCTGAACTTAGTTTTTAGAGCACGTGTAGACGGAAAGCCATCATCCATCACCCTCAGAGCAAATACTAGCTTCAAAGAGATGGAATGAATATTATACGACAAGATAAATTACATGGGTAACGGAAAAGAAACTGGAAGTGTATAACTGCTCATGATCGTACACTTCATCTATGCATACGAGCATTCATACGCGTCTTTATCCACAAAGCTATATAGTTTTAACTAGGCATTATCGGATTTGGGTTGAGTGTCAATATTTTTTTACCGATATATTATTGCTTGTTATTGCCTTCAATGAGGAGCTCGATATACACTGCATAACTTACCTAGATGAAGAGGACTGTGGTTATAAGGAAAATATGAAAACAGTTGAATAATGTTACATGTTATGCAGGTAATTACGGGAAGAAAGTATGAATAGACACCCCGAGTCAGGTTAACATCTAGTTAATTAATGAAAAGTAAATCTGAAACAATAAAATTAAGTAAAAAAATAGAAGTATGTATCTCGGGCGTTAACTGCTTCTCATGGTTTCGGGCGGCAAACTGCCCTCAGGCCAAAGCCCCTCGAGAATTTGTCGCCGCTAGATCACTAGAACCGTTATAACGTCCTTGGTGCATAAATAACTATTTGTTTACGTGCCTCATAGAGATAAAATGGTTGTGGACAACTGCTTTAAGCATTTCAATACGGATATGTGTCGAAACGCCGTTATCACTGGTGCCCGCGTCTTCCTGCCACTTTTGAGCTGTCACCTCCACGCCCGCACTCACACGTCGCCTATCTCCAAAACTTTTAAAACTTACTAGTTAGTAACAATTGAAAACTTTCACGTTTTGGGATTTCATATTATTGAAATGTTGTTAAATGTGGAGACATTGATCCAACCAGCAATATTCTGCGTGTTAATTCAAGGTTTGTAGCTGTTCCCGTAAATGATGGTAATTGCCACTATTGCTTCGTAGTAATTTGACTTCTTGAAACACCTATCGGTAATGTAATTTTAAGAAGCAGCATCCAATATAAGAGAAATTCGTCCCTTGGTACACTTTTTTAAAATAATGGACAAATTAATAGGAAAGTCATGACCGATATTGAAATATTTTCCTGGAATTAGTGACGTTAAATGCTGATTTACGAAACAGTTACCTTTAATGATTTCTGTAGAAGTTACTCTAATCGGCTATAAATTACACCCCAGAAGTCTACCACTTGAATCAGAATAAAATCAGCGTTCAGAGATAAAATCTATTTCGTCTTTCAGTTTTAGATAACATGTAAGTTTTTTTTTATCGAAAAGCATTGTGTTTTAAGAATACATTACTGAATATAAGTAAAATTTCTGTCCAACGCAGTTCCAAAATGTGCCTAATATTGAGAATAACTGAAAGTGTATGTTAGAATCAGAGAATATGTTGTAGCTGTTTACACGACAATATACACTGTTTATTGGACATCGACATAGCGATCGATGTATACCGCCTCCTAAGGTAGATGAGTCACAGTAGTTTCGTCAATAAGGAGAAACGGTAAGAAAAATCGGATAGAAACAGCGTTAAACTTTTTGAGGTGCACCTCCGTGATTGGAGAGTTTTGTTAGTTAAACACTTTTGGTTTTAATTTCACGAGTGGAATAGGCCACTTAACTATAAAAAGACGTGATTTTACGTTAAAACTCACGAAAACATCAAGGAATTATATTCGATGAACTTTACCATAGATGCAAAGAAACTATATCACATCTCCCCACGAGCATTTCACGGATACTAACTTCTCAAGAAGCGGTATTCGAAATAATTTCGGTTTTCTTCTTAAGGAAAAGTCTCTGTTCAGGCAAGAGTAAGGGGCAAGAGATGGGGCAAGTTTGGGCAAGAGGCAAAGTGACGAAAGCATAAACCGACTGTCTGTCT